TGAGACTCTGTATGAATTACAGACAATTGAACAAGGTGACTATCAAGAATAAGTATCCACTTCCAAGAATTGACGATTTGATGGATCAGTTGGTTGATGCGAGTGTGTTCAGTAAGATAGATTTGAGATCTGGGTACCATCAGATTCGCGTGAAGGCTAGAGATATTCAGAAGACTGCTTTTAGAACGAGGTATGGACACTATGAGTATTCTGTGATGCCATTTGGTGTGACTAATGCACCAGGTGTATTTATGGAATACATGAATAGGATTTTCCATCCTTATTTGGACAAGTTTGTGGTGGTGTTCATTGATGATATTTTGATTTATTCGAAGAGTGAAGAAGAACATGTTGAGCATCTGAGGATTGTGTTATCTGTATTGAAAGAGAAGTAGTTATACGCTAAACTTTCTAAGTGTAAATTTTGGTTGAAGGAAGTGAGTTTCCTTGGTCATGTGATTTCGAGTAGAGGTATTGCAGTTGATTTGTTGAAGGTTGAAGCGGTATCACAATGGGAAACTCCGAAGTCAGTTTTTGAGATTAGAAGTTTTCTTGGTTTGGCGGGATATTATCGGAAATTTATTGAGGGATTTGCCAAGTTATCATTGTCGTTGACGCAGTTGACTAGGAGAAGTCAAGCTTTTGTGTGGGATGCGAAATGTGAAGGAAGTTTCCAAGAGCTTAAGCGAAGATTGATGACAATTCCTGTTTTGATTTTGCCGAATCTAACAGAATCATTCGTTGTGTATTATGATGCTTCTTTGATGGGTATAGGAGGTGTGTTGATGCAAGATAAGAAAATTGTAGCTTATGCTTCGAGGCAACTCAGAGTGCATGAGAAGAATTATCCGACGTATGATTTAGAGTTGGCCGCTGTTGTATTTGTGCTGAAACTTTGGATGCATTATTTGTTTGGTTCGAGATTTGAGGTGTTTAGTGATCATAAGAGTTTGAAGTATCTTTTTGATCAGAAAGAATTGAATGCAAGGTAAAGGAGATGGTTGTAACTTCCGAAGGATTTTGATTTTGGTTTGAATTACCATCCGGGTAAAGCAAATATGGTAGCTGACACGTTGAGTAGGAAATAATTGCATATGTCGATGATGATGGTAAAAGAGTTGGAATTGATTGAGTAATTTCGTGAATTGAGTTTGGTGTGTGAGAAGACTTCTTATGGAGTTAAGCTGGGTATGTTAAAGCTTACTAGTGGTATTCTGGACGAGATTCGAGAAGGACAGAAATCTGATTTGAGTTTAGTTGATCAGTTGACTTTGATCAATCAAGGTCGAGGTGGTGATTTTCGGATTGATGAGAATGGTATCATGAGGTGTCATGATCGAGTTTGTGTTCCTGATGTTGTTGAGCTGAAGAAGAGTATTCTTGAGGAAGGACATCGTAGTGGATTGAGTATTCATCCAAGTGCTGCTAAGATGTATCAAGATTTGAGGAAAGTATTTTGGTGGCCTCGCATGAAGAAGGATATTGTCGAGTTTGTGTATTCTTGTTTGACTTGTCAGAAGTCAAAGATTGAGCATCAGAAACCGTTGTTTATTCCTGAGTGGAAATGGGATAGCATTTCTATGGATTTTGTATCTGGTTTACCGAGGACGCCGAATAACTTTGAAGCTATTTGGGCTATTGTGGATAGATTGACCAAATCTGCTCACTTTATTCCTATGCGAATGGATTGCCCGTTGGAGAGGTTGGCAAATCTGTACATTGAGAGGATTGTCAGTTTGCATGGTATTCTGTCTAGCATTGTGTCAGATAGAGATCTGAGGTTTACTTTGAGATGTTGGGAAAGTTTGCAAAGTGCTTTGGGTACGAAGTTGCGTTTGAGTTCAGCTTATCATCCGCAGACCGATGGTGAGACTGAGAGGACGATTCAGTCACTTGAGGATCTTTTGAGAGCTTGTGTGTTGGAGAAAGGAGGATCTTGGGATAGCTACTTACCTTTGATTGAATTTACTTACAACAACAATTTTCATTCGAGTATTGGTATGGCACCGTTCGAGGCATTGTATAGTAGACGGTGTAGAACGCCATTGTGTTGGTATGAATATGGAGAAAGTTCTGTGGTTGGACCTGAGATAGTCCATCAGACTACCGATAAGATTAAGATGATTCAAGAGAAGATGAAGATTTCTCAGAGCCGTCAGAAGAGTTATCATGACAAGAGGAGGAAGGCACTTGAATTTCAAGAGGGAGATCATGTGTTTCTTCGAGTTACTCCTATGACTGGTGTTGGTAGGGCATTGAAGTCGCGTAAGTTGACGCCGTGTTTTATTGGTCCTTATCAGAATTTGCAGAAGATAAGGGAGGTAGCCTATCATGTCGCTTTGTCGCCGTCGCTTGCTAATCTCCATGATGTGTTCCATGTATCCCAGTTGAGAAAATACATTGCGGATCCGTCTCATGTAGTCCAAGTAGGTAATGTGCAGGTGAGAGATAACCTGACTGTGGAGACATCACCTATGCGAATAGAGGATCGAGATTTGAAGCAACTTCGAGGCAAAGAGATTGCTTTGGTGAAGGTCGCTTGGGGAGGACCGGCTGGTGGAAGTGTGACTTGGGAGCTGGAGAGTCAGATGTGGTAGTCTTATCCAGAGTTGTTCGAATCAGGTAACATTTTCGAGGACGGAAATTCCTAAAGTGGGGGAGAGTTGTAACAGCCCAATTTTCACTAATTAATTATTTATATTAATTAAATGATTTAAGAGGATTGTTTGATTAATGTATGATTAATTAAATGAATTAATAGATGTTAGAAAGAATTAGAAGGGAAATATATATAAAGGAAAAGTGGAGAGAAAGGAGAAAGATAGAAACATAAGAGAAATAAAGAGGAAGAAGGAGAAAGAGGAGAAAAGAGAAGGAGAAGAAGGAAAAGTTGGAAAAGCTCAAGAACAACTCTCAAGCATCGATTTAATCGAGGTAAGGGTGTGAAATATCATTATCTTGTCAATGTATATGATTATGTATGCTTGGGTTAAATTGTTAGATGTTTTTCTACAACTTCCATTTTAGGGCAAAGTGGATTTAATCGATAGAAACCGAGTTTTAACGGTCGAAAATGAGAATAAGTGGGAGAGTTTAATCGATGAATGCTAAGTTAAGGCTGCGGGAACGAGTCGGGACTGAATTGGTTGGATTGGGTGAGTTTCGAAGTTTTGGACAGTGGGAATTTCTGAGTTCGCAAACGTTCGCTAGCACCTTCGCTAGGCGAACAGGTCGCGAACATTCGCTAGCAACTCGCTGGGCGAATAAGTTAGCGAGAGGTCCCAGACTTGGGCAAAATGCATTTGATCTGGTTCGCTGGTAGCGAGTGAGGTGGCGAAGGATTCGCTAGGGCCTCGCTGCAGCGAGTAGGTGGCGAGCGAAGTCAGTAGCTTCTGTTTGCTTTCGCGAGCTTGTTCGCTAGGCGAACAGATAGCGAATATTCGCTAGAGACTCGCTAGGCAAGCAAGCCACCGAGCGTGACAACATTTGTCAAATTTGTTTCTAATTAGACAAAACCTAGATGTATTATATGCGATTAAGAGAAAAGAGCCATCAACATTTACTATAAATTTATCATAATTTGGACGATATCAATAGGAAGTAGGATAATTAATAGCTTCATCAAACCTAACGATTGAATCAATAGTTTAATCAAATCAAACTAAATTGTATTATAATCAAGATCAAATGAATTAATGACATAATCACTTTCCTCTATTTGAATTTTAAAATACCGTATATTTTTTTAGTCGTATTCCTCTATTTGAATTTTAAAACACCATATATTTTTTTAGTCGTATTATTAATACAAAATATTTATTAATTATTTGCCAATAGCTAATCTTCAATAGAGAATATAATGACAATCTCCATTAGAGTATCTCCTTCCAAGTTCCAACTATATTTGTGTAGGTGAAATAAATATAAAATAAAACTTATGCAAAATTAAATACGTTTTAGTTTAGCCAACAAATAAAACCTTAAACAATAAAACAAATCAAACAATATATACTTATCTATAACATATATATATATATATATATATATATATATATATATATATATATATATATATATATATATATATATATATATATATATATATATATATATATATATATATATATATATAAAGGTAATACTTGGTTTTTGGTGTAACTTTTTTTATATTAAATTTATCATTATTTTAAAATATATAAGTTACACAATAACTTCCATTTAACTACTACTATCATCTTTCATATAACTCCCTACTAATAAAAAAGCGGATCGAACGCTGATATATATAAAAAAAAAGACAAAACAAAATATAGGCGATGGCAGTTTGCCCTTTGTAACAGAAAGAAGTTCAAAGTAGCACTGATCTCAACACAGCCGGACTCCCTCCTCGTCGGAAGTTAGGGTTAGAAGCTCCACCGTTTCTTTCGGTTATTTATCTGATTCATTTTTCCAATTTCTCTTTCCCTCCGATGGTAGCACCGGCGGTGATGCGATTCCGCCGTGATTCGCTGCCCGGATAGCCGACCTGTTAAAGGCATTGCATCAGAGAATTGCGTCGCACCATAGCTTAGATTTATATTGAGTTATGAATCTTTATATGTTTTGCTTGGGAGTTAGGATAGAAATGGAGGGAAAGGGAATCAGAGGGAAATTTCTCAACTTATGAGAATTCTTACAATTGATATATAATATATATCTTTGAATTATTATAAAAAAAGTAAAAATGATTTTGGATAATTTGATAAAGTCCTTTGAGACCTTGCTCCAATTCAATTTTTTGGCTACTGATATAGGAAAGTTTTTGTTTTACCCCCGAAAAATAATTATAATTCGCGCCCGGGCGAGGTGGGATTATTGTCGCGTCCATTTTTATTTTGTTCCAAACATCCGAACAAGGGATAAGCATTTGTAAAACTTGTGATTATATGGATAGAGGTGAATTTGACATTTGTATAATTTATGATGTTGGTTGCAGCAGAGTGAGTTTCTTGTTTCTCTAGATGGGTGCTCCTAAGCAGAAATGGACATCAGAAGAGGAAGCGGCACTCAAAGCTGGAGTTGTCAAGCATGGGGTGGGTAAATGGCGTACAATACTTAAGGATCCTGAGTTTAACTGTGTCTTATTTCTGCGCTCAAATGTCGATCTCAAGGTTTGGTTATGTTGTTGGTTGTTGTGATTATTTGTTTATTTATTCCCTTTCCGTATAATTTTTAATGTTGGACACTTGGATCGTTAAATTGTTAAGGTTTGGTTATGTGGGTGTTGGATAGGATAAATGGAGAAATTTAAGTGTGATGGCAAATGGATGGACCTCCAGGGAGAAGTCTAAGGTGGCAATCAAAAGGGTGCATCATTATGGAACAAAACAAGATGAAAACTCTATGGCTATCATTCTTGCTAGTCCAAGTGACGATGAAATTGTTGATGTTAAGCCCCTTCAAGTTTCAAGGGATATGCTCCAGATTACTGGTCCAAAAAAGTCTATTGAAAGGTTGGACCTGTTTTTTGTTTGTTTCTTAAATATGGTAATTTATTTAATTGCATCTAATAGCGTCGTTAAATAGCGGCTATAGCCTAGTGAAATTTTAACAAACTGCTATTGTTTAGTGATACAGGATTTAATACAAAATATCGAAAGTATTTTTTGTGTTAGATTCTCCGGTCGAAATACGGGAAAACTCCATTCAATTCTCGATTGAGATGGAGTTTTCTAATTCCTCCCCGGAACTGGAGTTTTCTGATTCCTCCTCGGAACTGGAATATCGTATTGAAATCTTAGAAGATATTCAAGAGTTTAATGCGACTTTTGTCCCGTCGGCCAACACACTAGATGCGACTTTACCACCACGGAGTGGCCTTTTGCAAGATGATGAGGGAGAAACTCAGTAAGAGGCTGTAGCACTGTAGTGTTACAGAATTTGAACAAACTAACAGTTTTTGCGATATGCGAACATTTAGATCTTTAAACCTAGTTTGCAAAATGTTCACATATAATTTAACTGTGCAATCAGCGTTTGTCTTTCAATTAGGGATTCTCATTATTTACCTAGTTTGTTAAGAACATTCATTCAATATCTTTGCTGGTATGCTTGTCTGATTTCATTATCTTGTTTTGCTTGCATGATTGCATCCTAAAAAGGTTTCATTTATTTGAATTTTTTTTATACATGTTCCCCCTTTTGTTGTAAATCGTAATTTTTTAACTGTGTATTTCGACAGTGGATGCTTAACCGTGTTTACATTATACAGATTCAGATTGGATAACCTTATCATGGAAGCTATATCTAGCTTGAATGAGCTTGGTGGTTCTAATAAAACAACAATTGCTTCTTTTATATTGGTATAAATCTGGTTTCTAAGCCCAATTTTTATTTGTTCTGCTTTTAATTCATTTAATTCTGTAGTTAGCATGCTTTTATTCTAAATTTATTATGGCAGCTGTTAGAATACGTAATGAATGTCGCATAAATTCATTATTCCATCTTAACAGTATTTTAGAATATCTTAGAAAATCTATTGGGAGGTGTTTGCATATTCCGTAAGTTATTTGTTTAATTAGGATTTGGAGTCGATATTAATACTACTACTGGTTAGTACATCGTCTGAGAGCGAGCCTTGGCACAACGGTAAGGTGGCTGCTACCTTCTGATATGTAGGTCATGGGTTGAACTCCTTGTGACAGCCTCTCCCCTTGCATGTGTAAGGCTGCATACATCTATGCTCCCTAGACCCCACCTAGTGGGAGCCTCTTGCACTCGAGTAGTAAATGAATCTCAGTTGCTGTCTGTATAAATTACAATAAACTATCCTTGTTTATATCCCTAGAACTGTATAGAAGAAAATGTAAGAAATAGGAAAAGAAAATTAACAACAACCAAGCTTTATCCCACCAAGTGGGGTCGGCTATATGGATCAAATTCCGCCATAATGTTCTATCCAATATTATGTTTCTATCCAATTCGTTAATTTTAAGATCTTTCTTAATAGTTTCTCTTATAGTTTTTCTAGGTCTTCCTCTACCTCTAAGTGTTTGACTCATCTCCAATTGATCTACTCTCCTTACAACAAAATCTACGGGTCTTCTCTTTACATGCCTAAACCGCATAAGCCTATTTTCCACCATCTTTTCTACTATGTAAATGATCCATGTTATAGAGATTCGACAACATTTTACGTTGGCTGTCGACTGCCTAACACAACCTTCTCCTTTTGTTCGGGCTTGGGACCGGCTATGCACAGCAATGCCAACATAGGCAGGATTAGGAAAAGAAAATTAGTAAATCAAAAAAATAAGAAAAGACAATCACTACATATAATAACATTGATTACACAAACATTTAATTTCTTTGATTTTGCTAAGTTGGGGCCTTCATGAAAGAGAGCCAGTTTGAAAAAAGAAGGCTAAAGTTGAGCCATTATGCTGAAAGACATGTGAGCCAATTTGCACAAAGAAGCTTGAGTGGTGTGGTGTGAGACCTGTGGGTGTGAGTGTTGTGCAACAACTCCATGCCTCCTAAAACCTAGTTACTTTGACTTGTGGTTTTTGTGAGTGAAAAGCTCAGTGCTTCTTGAGCCTTAGGTGTTTCGGATGTCCCTTGTGGTAGGGTGTGATCTATGGTGCTATTTCAACTTTCAATTGACTAAATCTTACATGGTTAAGAAATGACATTATATTGGTTAGAAGTGTTATAGCATTCCATTTCTTATACAAAATTGTTTTAATTTCATCACTTTGTATTCTGTAGGACCATTATTATCCACCGGCAGACTTCAAAAATCTATTGTCAGCAAAACTGAAGTATCTTGCTTCTAGTGGAAAACTGATCAAGGTATATTGCAACATGTTTCATTATGTCATTACTAATCCATCTGATGTAAACATACAATAAAATTGTCATAAGTGCACCTGTTTTCAGCAATGCATTTGTTTTTTTTGTTTTGTTTAATCACCAGTGTGGGTGCACTTGACAACCCTACCCTATGGGTTAATGTAGGAACATGAGTATTTAATGAGATTGAATGAATATCCCATTTATAGTCTTTACATGACTTATCTTTCGGGAGAGAGTTCTCTATATTACTGTTTCATGGACAAATACAAAATCAAACATTTACTCTAGATGTAATGGATTAGTATTTGGAAAAATCAAAGTCTCACATTGGCTAGAAATAAGGCCTAGTAGAGCTTATGAAGTCAGGCAATCCTCACGTTAGAAGTTGGTTTGGTGGAGTTATCAGGCCCAAAAACACAAGAAGGTATTCGTTCCTATCCTAGACACATTATTGGGCCACCAATTATCCACGAACCAAGTTCAGAAGTATTGGGCTTGAGCCGTGAGTAGGGTGTATTAGAAAAAACTCAAGGTTCACTTTAGTTTAAGATAAGGCCTAAATAGAATTTGTAATGTCTACGAAACCTTCACCTTACAAGCCACTTTGTGGGTTGAGTTCAGCACCAAACCATTCAAATTAGACAAGGGGTTGCTCTTTTCACCCTTAGGGATGCTTTTTTCACCCTTAGGGATGCTCTCCCACCACCGTGAAAAGTCACAACTGCCCCTAGCATCTGGAGATGTATCTCTGGACGCACCTAAAATCACACCAACAAAGGCGTTGCAAGTGAGACACCTCTATTTTGCCTTTAAAAATTGTCCGGAGATGTATCTCCATAAAATGTTAAAGTGTCTCTTCAGTTGTGCTTTCTAGTGTCTCTTAATCACTTATAGTTAAAACATTGTTTGAAGGAAAACCAATTTTGATACGAAATAGTCAATCTACCAAAACCACGTTTTCCCAGGGAAACCCAATTTCCCCACCCCTGCCATTCCTCCAAACACAGTATGTTGTATTTCTTGGGTTTGACTTAGCACATGTTTGCAGCCATTGCTGATATTGGAGTTAAATCATGGTGACTCTAAAAGCTACTTATTGAAGCTTCAGTTCTGCTGCCTGGTGAAAGGAATGCACTGTATTTTCAAACATACTCTTAGTCATGGATAAAGGAGGAAGCATTTAGCTTATTAATTGATACTACATTGATATGATGTGTGGTCCATAGCCTGAAGGCTATTTTGCATAGTTAAGAAAATTCATTATATGTATGTTGCTGAAGAGATATTAGAAAGGACAGCAGGGGAAATGAGACATCCTAAATGTTGAGTAACTTTTGGAGAATCAACAAAATAAGATGAATGGGGTGGTTCACCTGAAAAATGATATTGAATGGCCAGGGATGAAGAGACATCGTTAAGTGTTCAGTATATTTTGGCACTTTGCGGAGATACATTTCCGGAATTTAGAGATGCATCTCTGGACATTTTATGGGCAAAACAGAGGTGTCTCATTTGCAACGCCTTTGTTGGTGTGATTTTAGATGCGTTCGGAAAAGCATCTCTTGACGCAGGAAGGGTATTTTCGGATTTCTAGGAGTTTGTGACGCACCCTTAGAGGTGGAAAGAGCATTCCCCATTAGACAACCCCTGGTATGAGTTTGGGGAGTGGAAATTGGGCGAGACATAGAGTAATAACTGAATAAAAGAAACCCAAGGACAAGAGGATTTCGAGAGAGGCTGAAAGGAATAAGGAAAGATCTCGAGTTAAAATGAAAGTAGTGACTAGTCTAGTTGAAATGATGAGAAACACTTCAACACTCCCTGTAGTAATTTTTTATTCAAAATACATAAATCTATTTAAAACAAAGTGATGCTGCTAACGGTATTACTTGTATTAATATATTCTCTTGTCTGTCATATGTTGCTTATATCTTCTCTTATGAATTAAAAACAGTTTTTGGTCTATATATTTTATAAATCAATATTTTTTCTTGATTTAGTGTTATACCTTTATTTTGAGCCATATTTGGATGTCATATTTTACTTGTTTCAATTAGAGATCTTACTCATGGGTTGAGTTTGATATTTCAGGTTAAACGTAGGTATAGGATTGCACCTACTCCAGCATACTCTGACAGAGGAAGACACCCACACATGTTATCATGGGAAGGGAAGCAGAAAGGCTCTATGAAATTTGACATTGATGATACCAATATGCCTACACAGTCTGAGATAGATTATGAGTTAGAAAAGCTAAGGTCCATGTCTGCAGAAGAGGCAGCTGCAGTTGCTGCTCGAGCAGTTGCTGACGCGGAAGCTGCCATAGCAGAAGCTGAAGAGGCGACAAGGGAGGCAGAGGCTGCAGAAGCAGATGCAGATGTAGCGCAGGCTTATGCAGATGCTGCAATGAAATCAGTGAAGGGGAAGAAAAATACCCCAAAGACGGTAAATCCTGGCTTTTCCTTTCTTTGTAATACTATAACATATTGTATTAATATGACACGTAGAAGACGCTTTTGTATCCTACTTGTACTTAGATGCAAAATGGCATAAAATGAGTTTTTATTTTTTTATTTTATTTTAATTTTTATATTTACATATGATATTATATGGTAATGCCTATTAGAATAGAATATTCTACTGTTTTGTCTTATTCTATTGTTTGTCCTTTTCTCTTATTCACAGCTGTCTGTTTGTTAAGGCGGGCACAGCTGTAAGTTTGTTAGTGAGCTGTGCCATCTGTGATAACAAACTTACAACTATATATATCTACTGGTTGTATTCTATTTTGCTAAGAATGAAAATACAAATCAAATTTTTCTCTCTCTTTCTATTATCTTAATATGGTATCAGAGTCTATCGATCGAACCTTGGGCAGCCCACCGTTTAAATCCACGCACCAAGCCCAAAAAGAGTGCTGGGCGTGAGGGGGTGTATTAGGAAGATCCTAAAGTCCCACATTGGTTGGAGATAGAGCATTGAAATAGTTTATATAGAGTGACACCCCTCACCTTACCAACCGGTTTTGTAAGGCTGTGTTAGGTCAAACTCTAATAATGTCCACTCTCCTTTTTTTAGCCTTTTCTTTTTTCTTTCCCGTGCTCCCATGGCTTCTCCTTTCAATTCTGAGGGTGTTTTTCCCTCTTCTCACATCAAACTTTCTCACCTCATCTCTGTCAAGCTTGATGAAAGAAACTTCAAGCAATGGAAACAGCAGATTGAGGGTGTGATTCGCGGCCACAAACTGCAACGGTTTGTTACGACGCCACTTGTTCCTTCGCGCTTCCTTCCCGGCGCAGATCTGGTCACCGGCGGTGCGAATCCCTTGTATCTTGACTGAGAACAGCAAGATGCGCTTATCTGTACTTGGCTCCTCTCTACTATCTCTGACTCCATTCTTCCGAAACTGGTCGATTGCACGTACTCATGGCAAGTGTGATCTGAAGTTCAACGTTACTTCAACACCTTGCTCACTACCAAGGCGCGTCAACTTCGATCGGAGCTCCGAAATCTCACCAAAGATTCGCGCACGATAACAGAATTCATGATTCGTGTTCGTGACATCAGCGAATCTCTGGTATCTATTGGCGACCCTGTTCCTCAGCGGAATCTCATTGAAATCGTTCTCGATGCTCTTCCTGAAGTGTATGATCCTATTGTTGCTGTGATGAACAACAAAGAGGATCTCAGTACGATTGAAGAGCTTGAATCGAGTCTCCTTGCTCATGAATCGCGTCTAGAGAAGAATCGTAAAGCTGTTGTCATTGAACCTGTTTCAGTGAATCTTGCTCAAGCACCACCATCTTCTCAGTCTTTCTTTACTGATGCTTCTGGTGTAGATACTGCCTCAACCTTTCCGGTTGGTACTAGCCATGTTAACGCCACTGCTGACAATCATGGTTATGGCTTTCGTGGTGGTAGGTCTGGTCGTGGTGGTGGAAGATTTGGACGTGGAGGTGGCAGATCTGGTAAAGTTTCTTGTCAAATCTGCCACAAACCTGGTCATGATGCATCAATATGTTATCATAGGTACTCATCTTCAGGTGCTCCGTCCTACCCTTCACCAAGAACTCCCTTCAATCCTTTCATGATGATGCCACGCTCACCATATCCTCCTTCTGCTTTTGGTTATGCTCCTGCTCCAAGGCCTACACCACCAAGGCAACCTCAACCTCAAGCTTTCTTAGCAGGTTCTGATCCCAGCTTCAACAACCAATGGTGGTATCCAGATTCAGGTGCTTCGCATCATGTCACGCCGCCTGAGATTTCAAATTTGTCTGATGCTTCTTCACTGCCTGGAACTGAACAAGTGTTCATGGGGAATGGTCAAGGTTTGTTTATTGATTCTATAGGTTCCATGAGTTTTCCTTCCTCTAATCCCTCTAATTCATCATTAATCTTGCATAATCTTCTTCTTGTTCCTCATATAACTAAGAATCTCATCAGTGTCAGCAAATTTGCTCAGGATAATCGTGTCTATTTTGAATTTCATCCTCAATTTTGTGTTGTAAAATCGCAGGATACTTCTGAAATTCTTCTTCATGGTACTGTTGGAGCTGATGGACTCTACAGATTTGCCAAGCCCATTGCCTCTCTATCCAAGTCTATTAGTTCTAGTTCTAAGTCTCCTAGTTCTAATTTCTGTTCTAGATTTAGTTATCCTTGTAATCCTGTTGCTACTAGCAACCATCTTTCCTATTGTAATGATGATTTTCACAATAATAAAACTGCATCTAACTCTACTTTCAATTCTCCTGCTGTACATTTAACTTCTGCTCTTAATTCCTACTCTAATTCTGCCATGTCTAACTCTGCCACTATATCAAATAACAAGTATGCTCTATGGCATACTAGGCTTGGTCACCCTCACCATCATGCACTTCTTGAGGTTCTCAAACTCTGTCAAATTCCTATCCCTCAAAAGCCTCCCACTGACCTATGTTCTGCTTGCTGTTTAGGCAAGTCTCACAGACTGCCATCAACATTGTCCACTACTATTTTCACTTGTCCCTTTGAACTCGTTGTGTGTGATCTTTGGGGCTTTGCACCCATGGTCTCCTCAGGAGGTTACTCTTATTTCTTAACCTGCGTTGATGCTTTCTCGAGATTTGTTTGGGTTTTCCCTTTAAAACTAAAGTCTGACACCCTCACTCAATTTATACACTTCAAGTCTATGGTTGAACTTCAGTTCAACTGTAAAATTAAAGGCATCCAAAGTGATGGAGGTGGTGAGTTCAAACCTCTCACTAGGTTTCTTGCTCCCTTAGGAATTACTCATAGGTTCTCTTGCCCTTACATTCACCATCAAAATGGCATAGTGGAAAGGAAACATCGCCATATAGTTGAAACAGGCCTTACTCTTCTTGCTCATTCTAAACTTTTCAAGTATTGGGATCATTCCTTTCTCACTGCAGCCTACCTTATCAATAGGTTACCTAGTGCTTCCCTTCAAAATAAATCTCCTTACTCCATTTTAACGCACATACCTCCTGACTATTCCTCAATGAGGACTTTTGGTTGTGCCTGTTTCCCCTTCCTTAGACTCTATACCTCCCACAAACTTTCATTTAGATCTCAGGAGTGTATTTTTCTAGGATATTCCTCTGTTCACAAAGGCTACAAATGCCTTTCAGCTGATGGACACATATATATATATATATATCTAAAGATGTCCTATTCCATGAAACTAGATTTCCCTACCCTGAGCTCTTTCCTAGCTCCTCTACTCCTGTGACTTCCACTACTTCTGCCTCTTGGTTTCCTTCTGCCTCTCCACCTGTTCCTACATTTCATATTCCCCCACTGCAGCAGGTTTCCCCTCCTGTCTCTTCTCAGCCATCACCTTCTAATGCTGCTACACTGCAGAACATTCTTATTCTCCTATCTCTGCTCAACCTATGTCTCCTATTGTCTCTAATGCAGGCTCTCCCTCTTCTCCCCTGCATCATTCACCCTCTTCTCCTTCTGACCTTTCTAATCTGGCCAACACTATATCTCCTTCCTCTTCATCTCCTGTCCCTTCTTCTTCTTCTAATTCTGCTCTTATTCCTCCTATTCACCCTCTCAATGTTCATCCCATGCAAACTCGTGCCAAAAATGGCATTGTTCAGCCTAGAGTCAATCCTACTTTGCTCTTAACTCACATGGAACCTACCTCAATCAAACAGGCCTTAACCACTCCTCACTGATTTCAGGCTATGCAAGATGAATATCAGGCTCTTTTGAAAAATCAGACTTGGTCTTTGGTGCCTCCTGTTAGTTTAATGGCAGAAAATAACAAATAGAGAGGCAGAGAAGTAGAGAAAACTGTTGGTTAAAAGAAAAGAATATATTTTGATCAATAGAAGCGTTACAATAAATAATAGAAAGGAAAACTGAAAACTATCCCACGTAACCATGATTTTAGGGAATTGAATAATTAAACTAATTTGCTCCTAAAGTATAACAACTACTACTAGCTTGCTCCTAAAGTATAGCAACCACTAATTGACTAAAAAACTGAAACAATAAAATAAAATAGTAATAATAAATCTAGCAGTTACAAAAACACATTTAATACTCCTCCTTGCTTTAGGAACTGCAAACTCCAATCAGTTGCCTTAGATATTCAAATTTGCTGATAGATAATGGCTTTGTAAACATGTCAGCCAATTGATCTTCAGACTTGCAGTAAATTAAGTTTACTTCTCCACTTTGTTGCATCTCTCTCAAAAAATAGAGCTTGATGTTGAAATGTTTAGTCTTTCCGTGACATACTGGATTGTTTGCAATAGCAATTGCAGCCTGGTTGTCAACAAAAATTTCTGTTTTGTTCTTCTGCTGCAAAGATAAATCACATAAAATCTTCTTCAACCATAAAGCTTGATTTACAACATTGCTGCTATAAATTCAGCCTCAGCGGTGGATTGTGCTACAGTCTCTTGCTTCTTTGTGCACCATGAGAATACTCCCGAGTCTAGGCTGAAACAGTATCCTGAAGTGCTCTTCATATCATCAATGGATCCAGCCCAATCACTATCAGAGAATCCATACAACTTGAATTCTTTACACGTATCGAACTTGACTCCATAATCAATAGTGCCTTTGATATATCTCAATATTCTTTTTGCTGCTTGCAAATGAATTTCACTTGGACAGTGCATAAAACGAGACAAGAGACTTACCGCAAATAGAATGTCCGACCTTGTTGCAGTGAGATACATCAGACATCCAATCAAGCCTCTATAATATCCTTCATCAATTTTTTCAGCACCATCATCCTTGCTCAACTTTTCCTTTTGATTCATTGGTGTGCTAATAGATTTACATTCCTCCATTTTAAATTTTTTCAAAATTTCCTTTGCATATTTTCTTTGACAAATTAACACTTCATTCTCACTTTGTTTGATCTCAATTCCAAGAAAATAGGTCCGACCTTGTTGCAGTGAGATACATCAGACATCCAA